GTATTGTTGAGGGATTACAACATGAGTGTCCTGTACCAACCTGGAAATGCCAATGTTGTGGCAGATAATTTCAGTCCTCTCACAATGGTTAGTGTGTCTCATGTGGAAGAAGAGAAGAAAGAACTTGTGAAACATACTCATAGGTTGGCTCGTTTAGATCTGCGGTTACAAGATTCTCCAAATGGTGATTTTATGGTATGCACTAACTCTGACCCATCATTAGTGGTTGAGGTGAAGTCTAAGCAACACCTTGATCCTCTATTGATTGAGTTGAAGGAAGAGGTACTTATTAAGCTTAATGAGTCATTGTCCTGGGGGATTGTATTCTTATGTACCAAGGGAGATTATGTGTACCAGATGTTGCGGAATGTAGAAATCAAATTCTAGAAGATGCCGATGATTCTTGATATTCTATACATCTGTGTAGCACAAAGAAGTATCATGACCTTATAAAGGTTTATTGGTGGGATGGTTTAAAAGGGACATAACAGGGTTTGTCCCCAAGTTCCAAACTGCCAACAAGTTAAAGACGAGCATCTAAAATCGAGAGGTTTAACCCTAATTATGGATGTCCATACTTGGAAATGGGAAACTTTTATGACCCAAGAGTATAATCTAGAAATTATTGTATCATCTAATCTTAAGAGGGTGTCATCGACCTCTTTGAGGTCTGAGGAAAGTCCTTAGACATCATTAATTTCATAACCGTAACAATAGTGGAAAATTAAAAACTTTTATAGCACATCATATGGTAGAACATTACCTCATATATAAATAAAAACTTTGTATTACATAGTTATACTCTTATTTCTTTTTGACATCTTAAAACACAACTCAATAATATAATAGGGATACGACACTTAACAACATAAAATATAAGTCTAAGCTATTACATCAACTTAAAGAAATATCTTGAAACATAGACAATCCTTGAATCATAAGGGTCCCTTAACTTGAACTTGGGAAATCTATCCAAGCTCTTTACTTAGGAGACATCCTCTAGCCATCACTACCTACACTTTGTGTAAAAATATAAAGAAGATTGGTATTAGTACAAGAATACACTAAGTATGGAAACCATGCAAAAACATGCATTTAGAGAAGACATTTCATTTTAAATCATGCAACATGTCTTTTTAGTAAACATCATGAACATAGGCATATATAAACTCAATATAGGTCACGTAAATCATATAGACATGGACAATACTCATAATAGCACAAAACAACATTTATCATACTTATAAGCATATTGAATACACATCATTAACTACCTCTCTTTTATTTCACTTTTTTCATAAGTAATCCTCAAGTGTACCAAGTGGAATGTATCACCTTGAGGACACCTTACAATAGTGTTTGATAATATGCTTCATACACACAACCATATATTTTCACAAGTCATAATTACATCAAAGACATCAACTTTACACAAGGACCATCAGCAAAGACAACTCCTAAGTCACACTATTGCAATGTTTAGGTAACATCCCGTAATTCTACTTTCACTAATTGTACCTATGAATTCACCCTAGACTAGGCATAACATAATCAACAAGTCATAACATATTCAACAATTCATAACATATTCATTTACAACAAGCATTAAGGACATATATGACATATCGTCATATAAGGACTCTTTTCTTTATTACAACCTTAGTCATAAATAATTTAGTTCATATCATAGGTAAACAACCATCATAACCCGTTCACAAGCTTACTTGATAAATGTACACATGACGTCCCATACCCCTACATATACTAAGTAAATTCATTTAGAAGCCACAAGTATAATTCACATGCATCGTAATATTTCATGTCTTAACATAACAAGGTCACTTCACATGCACTCATATATTTCATACATAACATACACCTTTAAATTATAAGGGTCTCCATTCCTATCGTTTCTTGAAGTCATCTAGTGCAATGTATAGGTAGGGTCCATAGTCCTCTCATACCAAGTACATTTCTCAAGGAAATTGAATTAGAGTTCATATTATTATCTTCATTAATTGTTAACCTTTTAAAGATATATCAATAACTGACATAGACATACCTATTCTAGGTGAAAACCACAAGCTATGACATAGAGATTGTTCTATCTGACACCGAAAAGAGAGGGTTAACACTTGCCGAAGGTGCAACTATTTGTACATACCTATTCTAGGTGAAAATCATAACCTATAACCTACAGGGGCACATAGTTATGGAACATGGAGATTGATTCTAGAAACCTTGACTTACTAGCGTGGAGGTTTCCATCTCATGAGACAACATCTACATTGGAAATTGTACTTACTAAACGTGAAGATTCTGTTTGTGGGAAGTTGTACTTACTAATGTAAAGATCCCACTCTCTTTTGTAATGTTCACTCGGTTCTAGACTCTAACTCAATTCTTAATATAATTAAGCTTTTCATACTCTAATTCAAAAAGAAGGCTTTAGGAGCTTGCTCCTTAATACAACAAATAGCTCAAAAGATTCTAAGATGAGCATGTCCTTTCATCATAGACCCTAATTAATACGAGAATGTCCTTTCACATGTTCTTACAATCATACATCATGTGTATGTGCATAGAATGTGAGATCTAAATTCACATAAAATCCTCTAGTCACACATGCTCATAACTTCATTAATCATATACTTACATACGTAGAAATAGGTAATGTTGCATAGGAGAACTATCCTTTCCTTAATCATAACAAATCTATCCTATTTATAGTCATGCATGAAGTGTGTGTGTGTACATTGGTCAACAAGATCACATAATAGCTATCACATAGAACTGAGAAAGCCACCCTCTAAAGATCACAACACATTTACAACATTTCCTCAAGTCTCAAGTCATACAAACATATCGAGTATTTAAGACTATAGACTAAACGCACTCATTTTACATCATAGGAGGCAAGTACATATTCAATAATAGAATAAAAGACTCCTAGCATACTTTGATCAGACATTTATATCGGGTTCATATGGATAGGGTTCATGCTATAAGGATATTCTTCATTATTATCCCTATAGACCACACCTAACCCTAATATAATCATCACACACACACACACACATACACACAAACACACACACACACAAACACACACACACACACACATATATATATATATGTGTATATATATATATATATATATATATATAACATCATGTCCACACCTAGGTCATGCAACTAGTTTGAGTCTATTCATATACTTCACATTACATTAATTCAATTGGAACATGATATTGGAACCAAGGCTACATACTTTAAATCCTAACATAGAAATCATCATATCAATACATGAAACTAATGCCTTCAAGTCCACGATCAGAACACAAAAATATGTACAAGAATGTTAACAACACCACAATAAGTGAACCATACCAATCAACACAATTCAATGTAAATTCTAGGCTAATTGGAAGAAGCAGGTCAACTTACCAAATCTCCAAGCTAATGATCATCTTTGCTCATTCCTCCACAATGCATATTATAATTATATAGAATGAAATGTCAATAATCAATTCAATACTATCTAATCACAACTCTATAAACATGAAATCAAGATCACAAGACCCACATTATCGGCCAATTTGAGAAATTAGGAAGATATGTGTTTTTCATGAAATTTTATATAAGTTCATAATAAAATCATTATATAAACATATATAAATCATTAGAATGTTTATGAAATCAATTTGAGATAAGCCTATGGATAGATTGAAAGATATGATTTTCAACTTAGAATTTATGTTTAGAAAACCTTTGAAAGGACTCCATAGATGAATCGTTATCTATGGTTGAAGTATAAAAATACATTATACAGTAGAAATACAAAAAAATATTTGAGAAGAAATCTCCAAGAATCCACCTCCATAACTCGTTCTTGAGTTTGGTCTTCAATGGAGGTTCTGGAGTTTTTTTGGATAGAAGAGAAATGTGCGAACTTAATTTCTTAATGGATGTTGAGGTTTTGTCTTGGTAAAGGGTTTAAAAATGTACTAAAAAAAATAAATAAAATTTCTCCTAAGTTACCAAAAAAATCCCATGTGAATTGGGACTCTTAGACATGTAAATATTGACTAAAAAATGACGCAACCGGATCTAGGAGTGAGCTGCGCGTCTCGGGAAGCCTCCCAATTCCTCCCCAAATAACATATGGGACATTTAGGTGTGATCTAGGCACATGTCGCACAAGACAAGTCCAAATCTTGGCCTGCTCGCTGCGTTGGGTTGTCTTTTTTCCAATGTTTAGGTCTTCCTTGGGGGTCCGTCGTGTGATCCACGGGGAGTACCTAATATTTTTGACCCTTAAAATGTCTGTTAAGGTACTATGGTAAAATAAAATGATTCTCAACTCGAAACAACACATAAAAACAAAGCAAACATACATTGAATCGCCAGCATGTCTAAAGACCAACTTCTAAACGTCTTGAACGTTTGAACTCCAAAGGACTTCAAATAAATTATACAAGATATAAAAACATTATTAACATGTTATTAACCTTTTTAGGCTTGTGTGAGGATCTAGATACCTTATCTCATTTTGAAGGTGTAACAGAAGCCATTAATATTGACTTTGTTGTTCAGTTGCCTCGAATCAAGAAGCAAAATGATTTTATATGGGTTATTATGGATAGGTTGAATAAATATATCACTTTATTCCTTTAATGTCTATTTATGCTGTAAAAGATTATGCAAGAATCTACATTAGTGAGATTTTGAGTTTTCATGGGATTCCTTTGACTATCATTTCAGAAAGAGGTTCCCAATTAACTTTTCATTTTTGGAAATATTTTCATAGGGGTTTAGGTACTCAAGTGAAACTTAGCCCCGCTTTTAATCCTCAGACATATGGTCCAGCGGAATGTACCACTCAGACCCTTGAAGACATGTTAAGAGCATGTATTTTTAATTTTAAAGGAAACTGGGATGATCATCTACCTTTTATTGAGACCTCTTACAATTATACTTACAATTTGAGCATATCCACGATGCATTTTCAATCTCTTTATGGCAGAAAATGTAGATCTCTGTTTGGATTGATTGAGGTTGGTGAGTCCTTAATCCTTGGTCCCGAGATTATCTATGAGGCTATAAAGATAGTTCGAATCTTAATAGATAGATTGAAGGTAGCCTATAGTATGCAAAAATCTTATGCTGATAATAGAAGAAGAGACCTTGAGTTTGAAATTGGTGATCATGTGTACTTGAAGATTTCATCTATGAAAGGGGTGATGAGATACGGTAGAAAGGGGAATTTAAGTCCCTGGTATATTGTTCCTTATGAGGTTATACAACAGGTTGGAAAGATTTCTGATGAAATAAAACTACCTAGTGAACTAGCTTCGGTTCAACCGGTGTTTCACGTTTCTATGCTCAAGATATACCTAGGTGACCCGGTGTCTGTTCTAGTTATGGAAGATTTAGGGGTGGATGAGAAATTCTTCGATGAAGAGGTTCCACTAGATATCCTAGATCGCCAAGTAAAGAAGTTGAGGAACAAGGAGGTTGCCTCTATAAGGGTTCTATGGAGGAACCATCTTGTCGAGGGTGCAACTTGGGAGGCTGAAGCCAACATGAAGTTCCACTACCCTCCTCTTTTTATTCCTTCAGGTTAGATATTCCTCTCAATAAATAAATTTAATGAATAAATATGAAATTTACTTGCTTTATTAATAGGTCCATATTGTGGACAAAACCGGACGAACTAGAGTTTTAAGAAAATGCTTTCTTACTCTATTAATACACTTATATGAAATATGTATGCATGTGTCTTCAGGGGATTTTGTTGTTTTGTTGTTGTCTTGTGAATAAGGACAACATGGTAGCTTCTTAATTTATTTTGAGCTCGTGATAATGTTTAGAAGAAAGTTCTTCACTATGTGTCATAAATTAAGTGTTGTGTGTAATGTTGTGATGTCTGTTTAAAGGAGTTGTGAAGTACTCCTATGAGATGTTACTTGTTATGATTTTATGTTGTTGATGGTTGGGCTGCTAGTATTGAGTATATCCTAACCCTCCAGAAACACTTTAGTGTCATTCGGGGACGAATGTTCCTAAGGGAAGGGGGATAATGTAGTACTCCGGAAATGCCATAACTTAGACTAGATGTTAATCTATTGAATAATGTTTAAAATTATATCTCCAAACCTATATTAATTTAATAAACTCATTTGAAAAATGTTAGAAGCAAAACATTAAAGAAATACCTTGACGTCCGAAAACTATCTAATTTGAACTAGTTGATATCGCTATGTTTTGTGAACGTTTTGAAGTATCAAATGAAGTGCAAAACTTTTACTAAGACATTGGATATGTAGAGTGTTGTACAAAGATCCTAAATGTCTGGTAACGAAACCCTAAGCACCATCCAAATGGTACTTGGGAAGGAACCCAACATGGGTAGGTAGGATGACAAACCAGCCTGCGCGAGCAAGATCAGGAGAAGGTGATGCGCAACGCCCAACCTTCACGACTCAGTCTGCCTCAAGAATTGAGGCTGACAGGAACCTCACTGCATTGACCCAAAAATTCAGAAAAACAATGGGAATTGGCCCGCGACGCGCAGCCACTTCCCAAATTTTTTAAAGTTGTGTTTTTGGTAATTTAACTTCATAAAAAGACCCATTTAAGTGAAAAGTATTTTCGATATTTTATAGGACGACTATATATAGATTATAGCTCAGTTTATTACCACTTATTACACCCTAAAACCAGATTCAAACGAATTTCCTCATCTCTCAATAAACACTTTCTTTAAATCATAAAATTTTTCCAATCAAATTTAGTTGATTATTCGTCTATAAGGTATGTGATTTTAGCTCTTTAAATTTTTTCCCCATAAGGTCCTTTAAAAGTTGGTTTTCAAGAATTCAAAGCTCTTGAAATTCCTTTCCCAAGAGGTCCTTCAAAAGTTAGTTTTCAAGAATTCAAACTCCTGGGGATTTTACTCTACAAAACGGGTTTTCTTCCTAACTATAGATTTATGACTTTCGATGAAAAACAACGGTTTTCTATGGTTTATTAAGTGTATATTGTCTAATGCTTGACTTGTAATGTTAGATTTCGTGTGAAGTATGTTCCCTATCAAATTATGGCTTTTATTGGGTTATATCTACTAGTCGATAACATGTGATTGTTGGGATTGAGATTATGACGTTAATGACCTCCTAAATGAGCCCTTTCTCTTATCTTTTCTTATGAATTGATCGTGTATATGACATTAAGATTTAGTATTAATTTTATATTGAGTATTTCACTATTATGTTGGATGGATGTTGTATATTGAATATAAGTTCTTAAATAAGGATCATGGAAGCACGAGGTAAGTCTTCTAAATTCGTGATTACTCTATGATGTTTATGTTAGCGTATACATGATGTAACAATTCTAATGAAGTATGTATAATGATGCTATGCATATATGTTGGGCTATGAATATGCTAATTTGTGAAATCATGATAAGAATACGATAATTAAAGCTTATGATATTCTCTTAAATTCTTTAGACAAGATGATTTATGATATGTTAATCTAAAAAATGAAGGGTTACAACGAAAGGATATTCTCATCTAATCCTAAAGATCTCATGATCATGTTTAAGAAATGAGTGAATCTCCTATGACTTATGATAAGATTTATGAATAAATGATGACTTAAAGGTTAATAAAAAAAGGGAATCTAGCATAGTACCGATCGACTAGATATGGCAGGTGTCCCTTCCCTAGTTAAAAGGTAGGTCACAATAACTCTCATTAGATAGAGGCTTACATGTAATAGGGAACTATGGATCTCTAATATATGTCATGGTTCTGGAACTATGTTGCCACCATAGTATTTTAATTAGTTGATCCACCTAGAAAGCTATGTCATGTTTGGTTCTACATTGGCCGGTAGACAACCTTCTTTCAGCGTGGGGTTTTATGACGCCAGATTCCATTTGTAGCTACCATGGTCTATGTCCATTAAGGTGATTGTTCCATCAAGTAAAATGAAAGACAATTAAATGGATTTGGAATAGGGTGACTTGAAAAGTCTACTTAGTATAGGTAGGGGTATGGGATTTTACCTAGATCTTACACAAGCTTACTCTAAGTAAGTCCTAGGAGATTGTCTTTATGTAATATGATGTTACAAATGGTATAATGTTAATGATACATAATGTTACGCTTATAGGATGTTAGTTACGTTAATGAACATGTTATTTGTCTATTTTGCTATATGAGGTGATGACTTTTTATGTAACAAGTTATATGAAGCAAAACTTTAGTTATGGTCTCTTATCTTATCTATTAGGTTGTGTGGGGTTATGGGTATTCACATGACCATTGATCTTGTAGGTTTGGGATGGGATCATTGGTAAGTGTTTTATATGTTATGTTTATATGATCTATTGAATATGAAATGTTAACATGACTTTATGAAAATATGTCATGGATAACGATCATGCTTTTTCTTGATGGAATCCTTAACCTGTATATGTTCTATGGTATGTGCATTGAAGACATTTATATAACTTATCATGCCTTCTAAAAACATTATCAATGATGTTTTTTTAATCCATGTCCTTAAATTTTATGTGCATATATCTGTATGTAGTATATGTGGCGTACTAACCCCATTAATTTATATTACTACAAAAGTAGGGTCCGGCCATTGAAGATTAAGAAGGTCGATTAGAGAAGCTTGGAATTGTTTCTCCAAGTGTTGGTATGTCCTCGTGTTCGAGGATGCTATCTTTTCATTATTCTAGCTTGCGAAGACTGTTGTAGAATTTAAGAATTCTCGTATTTCTATTTACGTTCTTTGGATTCTTTAGTATTAAGACCTATATGGCGTATTGACTATTTATTGGCTAAGTAAAGATCCATTCTCTTTAGATGGTTTTTATATGATACAACTTTTAGAATATTGATACGTATGTTTCATGATTGTTATGTATGAAGTCTAAGTAGACTTCACATAGCATTAAAAGGTTTAAATTTTTCTGCAATCGTAACTAATGACATGGAATGAAGAATGCTAAGGGCTTGTCTGATTCCTCTGAGAGGACGTCGATGCTTGAAATTGAAAAACCCTAGGTTTTGACTACTTTATTGTTTACTTGATAGTGTATTAATGCTTATGAATTCTAGTGTAGTTTTCTGTGTGATATTGAATGATGTAAGAATTGTATTCAGTTGATGTATATGATGTCGTAAATTGATAAATCAATATTTAATTGACCTAGATTCATTTAGTATATAGTTTTGTACTGAATTGATATTCATGGCCATGGGTAAGTACCTTATGGTATTGAATTGGATAATTTAGCTTTGGATTGAAGTGGTAAGAATGGATTGGTGGTACAACTCTTTATATCTCCTTATTTGACTTAATATAATTCTAAATTACGTAGTGATTGGTATGGTCACTTATGGTGGCGGTGCTGTGTGAATGATATGACCTTGTTAGCGTATCTTTATGTATTATGATGATCATGGCCTTGTTAAAAAATTACTTGATCTTGTATGATGCTTTCTGTAGTTAGTTATTTTAAGTATGATCATATCAATCTACATGTGAGTAATGTGAAATTATGGGTTGTTCCATTATTATTGGGTATTCATGTTATACTATGACTATGTCATTATGTGTGTAGTGTTACAATTTATGCATGATTATTCCTACTTAAATATATGAGTCTATGATGGTTATATTGATTAAGTTATAGTAGAGTATAGGGTGACATAAAAGATGATAATGAGTATTCCTATATGCTCCTAGAATGATATGAATTATGTGCTAAAAAGAAGTATTTGTTTCTTCTTAGGTTGACTTGTGTCCTTTACCTTATATATGTATGAATGTTAATATGAGATATATTGACTAGGGATGCTAAAGACTCTAAGTCTTATAAGTATTAGTTACATGATATCTTGAATGATGTTTTGAAGGTCCTTTATGTGGAACCTTAAATCTAGTGGTAAGGTTATGAACCTTGAAGCTGAAAGCCGTAATGGTATCCATCTTGTATGAATAATGGACTTAGGATTGGTTTTCTGGAACAATATCATATCATCCTTAGGAAATTCATTATGTTATCTTCGTCCCCATTGTAAGGCAGCCGTAGGGGACCTCTTTGGTAGGGTGAATGTGTTTACATTATGAACTAGATATGGAACCTCTTCATACAATCCTTAATGTGAATTACTCTATGAGAAAAATGGCTAACACTGAGTTAGTATGTTTTGGGATTTAGCTCTAGTGAAGAGTGAAACTAGAGTAAAAAAAAGGTTCATATTCCTTAACCATGTGCCTCAATGGGATGTGTCGAAGTTCTACCATTGGAAAGGAGAACACCCTCCATCGGAGTAGGTTACAACTCTAGATTACATGCTTTAGTACCATGGTATATGTTTGTGATTTCCTATTCTCATCATATGTGATACCTATTAGTATTTGAGAAGTTCTCTAAAGCTTAGGTGGTGGTGTGGGATGATATATACACATTGCACAATAGGCTTTGAAGAAGTTCATGAGAGTTCCTTGGTCTTCTCCAAAACCATTACTTGAATTTCCTTATGTGATGAATGAGTCTTAAATGAACTAATGAAAGTAATGACTTAAGTTAAGAAAAT